ACAGTTTCTGAATGTAATGGAATACCATTTGAGAAGTTTTGCTGATTTATTGTGCAAAAATACTGTTATTTCGACCACCACCTGTACACAGTGGTACACTCAACACAACAGCTCTCCCATTTCACAAATGGTAATGTTATTTTATTTGATGGATCGTGTTAAATGCAGTTGCAAAACCAATAAAAAATGCCATTTTTCAGATAGGTACCGTTGTTTTACAGAAGGTCGTATGAAACCATTGCTGTGTACTCGTGCCTAAGCCCCGCTGGCCCATCATTGGTACTTTAAGGAATCAGTCCAAAATACATATCTGTTCTTTATAATAAACTGCCTAATAATAATAATAATAACAACAACAACAACAATAATAACAACACTAACAACAAAAAATAAAATAAATAAATAAATAAATAAATAAGTAAAGCGACAAAACACTTCCATATCCAATAGAAATCTCTGCATATAGGAAATTCGATTGTACAATTCCGACCATATTATGAGCATGTGTTTATGAATCACTATCAAATAGTAATGATACCAGGTGTTCGTTAAAAGGTGAGCGTATCCTGCCCCACCGCTGGCACCAGTCACAAACACATGCAAAGGCAAGTGAAGTCATACATCCAAGTTGGATGGGGATGATTTGATACGGGTATCATAGGCGATATTACGTTCATTATTTCCCACAAGAGGTTTGGGGCGGTGGGGTCGCCTTGTGGTTAAAGTCTTCGCTCGCTCGTCACGCCGAAGGCCCGGCTTCGATTCCCGACATGGGTACAATGTGTGAAGCCCATTTCTGGTGTCCCCTGACATGATATTACTGGAATATTGCTCAAAGCAACGTAAAACCCACCTCCCTCCCTCACTCTCAACAGGTGATATGACACATGGTACATGACGTCTCAAGGACTAAGGGGGTCTCAATTTCACAGTATATAGAGTGAGCAGAGTGGAGTTTGTGAATTGTCAAGGGTATACTTTCTTTTGCCCTTTCACATTTTGTTGTAAGAATCAAACCTTTTTTGACAATCAATGCACAGTTGAAAAATGTCCTGCTTGCTTTTGAGATAGTCAACCTTCCACACACTGAGATTGGATTCTTTAATCATATTAGAAGCGATCTCGCGTATTTCAAGTGGATGTTTTCGGGCAAGACAAGCAGTGCAACTTCAAAGAAAATTATAGATGCATTGCTACCGTGGCTTCACCACTTCATGGTGAAACTAATTCAAAGCTTAGTCTGGATTACAGTTAAACCGTTCAGAGGTTAGCTGCATATATTAGAATTTGTTTCCAAACATTTCTGATGGGGAATAAAACAGTTGATCAATTTACCCCTGCGAAGTGGTCGTACCAGTGAGTGAGTGAGTTGGGTTTAACGGCGCTTTTAACAGTATTCCAGTTAAATAACGGCGTGTCAGCTTAATTCGGGAGGAAAGACCGAAGTGATGCAGGTCTCAGACGTTTACCACTTCGGTGAAACCCACGAGCACGGGTATGGTGCTGACAAACCTAGAAACAAAATTGGGGCGAACCGGGATTCTAACCCACAATCATAGGTTTCTGGCATGCCCAAGGGACGCAACTCTGCACAGCGATTCGCAGCGCCTTAGACGACTGGGCCACCCGTGCCCCCTGGTCGTGCCAAATGCAATCCCTACGATATATTTCCCTTGAAACTTGTGTTTCCAAAGTTGCTGGTTCAGGAGATAAATATTTCGTTTTGTAAGATTTGCGTGATGTTATGATGAATGGATGTACGGAAATGTTTCATTTTTAACACTCCTTTTTACGGCGTCGTGTTCAAATGAAATTTCCGTATTTCCACATGAATGTTAATTGACATCGATATTTAGAAGGAACTAATTTACTGAGCGCATGACGCAACAAAACTGTCGTCTCCTCGTGCTTACCTTCCACAAGATGCATGATATGGGGTGCCGCGAAACCGATCACAGGTTTCGAGGTACTCCAATAATGATGGTTCATTTTACGAAAGGGATGGTCACATGTTCAAGCCCATTTGAACATCACAAATGCAATTCTTTATCACCGTTCCTCATCTCACTTGTAATGTATAGTTATGCGTATCTATAAGATACTATTAATCAAAATTGTAACATGAAAGTGGGTATGTTCTCGAATTACGTTCGTTAGCGAGCTGCTACTTCCGTGAAGAATGCTCGAATAATGTCGTTTCTGACCCGAGCTAGAGTCAATGGAATACGACTTCAACGATTCATCGGTTTGTGGCTGGTTATTTTGCAAATCTCGCGATTTTCAATACCTGCCTGGCGGTGGGGTAGCCTAGTGGTTAAAACGTTCGCTCGTCACGCCGAAGACCCGGGTTCGATTCCCGACATGGGTACAATGTGTAAAGCCCATTTCTGGTGTCCCCCGCCGTGATATTGCTGGAATATTGCAATAAGCGGCGTAAAACCATACTCACTCACTCACTCACATTCAATACCTGCGTTTGACAGCAAAGTGACGGCAGTTGCCCGAAGATAATGGTTTGTGTACACTTTATTGAGACTAGCGTTGGTAAAAAAACTTTTCATCATGTTGCCAATGACATTTACACCAAATGGAGTGAGTGAGTGAGTATTGTTTTACGCCGCTTTTAGCAATATTCCAGCAAGATCACGGCGGGGGACACCAGAAATGGGCTTCACACATTGTACCCATGTCGGGAATCGAACCCGGGTCATCGGCGTGAACCGACCATTCGATCTTCTGGGGGAGCTGACATAAGCTCACCACGGAACTTCCTACCAGGTGAGCTGTAAATGCTATTTTCCGACATAATTTATGAATAAATGGTATTGGATTGTGAATAGATAACGCACGCCGTACAAAGACGGATGGCAATACGTCACACAAGCCTTTCGGACATCTTGCGTGTATGGATAGAAATGGAGCTAACTAGAACTGTCCTATGGGGAATAAATGAAGGCATATCGTACAGAGTCCGTAGCTACACCTGCGTACATATCTGAAAGAAATCGATGTAGTAGTTTAGAAGTTGTCCAGACAAATTGAAATGACGAAGTAATAAAAGGCAATAACTCCGCCTAAATGAAAAATCAAATTGGTGTGTCCAACAACATGTTGAAGTGACCACGTGTACAAAGTTTAATTGAAATCAGTCAATTAGTTTGGAAGGAATTATTCGGAAAGTTATTTTCTGCGGACAGACCGACAGACGGGCTGACACGTTGATTCCATTATACCCCCTAACTTCGTTGCGGGGGCACAATGGACTGATAATCTAATGAGATGATATTCACGAGGGTTTTCAAAAGGACTTCATAAATAGATATTTACTCATTTAGATGTTTGAAGATATTTACTCATTTAGATGTTTGAGATCTGTAAATTACAATATGGCGACTGTGAGACCATCTTGGATTTCTGAATGAGGTTATATTACTGTATGTTGTGCTGATCATCCACACCTAGTTTCATAAAGAGCACTTATTAGTATGGTAAAATAGTTTTAAATAGGGTTAGCTATCTAAATTTCGACCAATCAGAGGACTCCATTCCGTTGGTATTGTAATAAAATGTGCTTTGTGTGCAAAAATATATCTAAATATCCCTTTTAACGAAATCGAACAACTAACTTTCGACCAATCAGATGCCGCAGTTATATTGCCATGATGGTAAGAAAACCTTTTCGGCTGAGTCCTGAAATACATTGTATGCAAATACCAAACTTGAACGAAATCTCTGAATATGGATAAATCAGCTCTGCAGGCGTCCTTTCCGTTTCCATGGAAGCAAGGTAGTAACGTAAAAAAAGTTATATTGTATAGTGTCTCTAGATACACCTTTGTGCCAAGATTTATCAAAATCGTCAGTTATGACCCATAAAGAAAACCTATAAATAACGACCAGGTTGTCGTTGTTGAGAGGTTGTTGGAATATGAAAGGTGCAGTGCACTTACATAAGTTCCATGGCTCTACTTTTTCTTGTTCCTGAGAAAACGCGCACAGTTGAAGGAAGAATATATTCTATAACGAATAATTAGTTTTCACTTTATTCAGCACTTGTTGGTAATATATTGCTACAAGCCAAGATAACTGTGTCCAGTAACTACTCCATACGCATTTCCATCATAATACCATTTTTTTCATAACGTGATAAACCTCCCCTATTATTTGAAAAAACAACTATTTTTGTTTTCGATAGATTGACTGGCATTTCCCATTTACAACACGATGTGACGTAAAGCATTAACTCACTCACCCATTTACAACAGTCATCATGCAAGATATTTAACTTCATCTGTACGTTGTTGACAGTATTGCCAAATACAATAAGGTCTTCCGCAAAAAGAAGTAGAAAAATATAAATAAATTTCGGATGTAACTTAACACCAAAACGACAATTTTATTCCATTTCAGTAACCAATTCGTTTATAAAAAAACTGAAGACAAAAAGGGACAAAGCATACACCCTTGCCTCACACCCATGAAGCAAAAAATATACCAGATACTCTGTTTGAACGAACACAAGCCTTTACATTACTGTACATGGATTATAACATTTTATCCATTTTAGCATGGCTGCACGTACAGTCACCGATTTGATAGTCAGATCCAAATCTTCCATTCACAATATGTATGTTCAGAATTGAACACATTTCCAAAAGAGTTTTTCCAAAGTTATTTAGTAATATATCACATGAATATCTTTCCATCTCAAATTGTGTAAAAAATATATTAAGTAATTATTACTTTCAACATGGTGAATAACAGCGTTCTCCACATAGTCCCGCGTCACACCGGTTCTACTGTTCATGTACATTGGACCCGTGAAGATCCGGGGTAGAATAGGTCTTCATCAACCCATTCTTGCCATAAAGGGCGACTATGCTTGTCGTAAAATGCAACTAACGGGATAGGGTGGTCAGACTTGCCGACTTGGTTGATGCATGTCATCATATCCCAAATGCGTGGATCGATGCTCATGGTGTCGACCACTGGATTGTTTGGTCCAGACTCGATTATTTACAGACCGCCGTCATATAGCTGAAATATTGCTGAGTGCAACAAACAACAAACAAACAAACAAATCCAAGTACAATGATAAAAAACAGCTGGGTACTCTTCCAGTGTACTCAATAATAAACCCCAGCAAAATCTCTATCCCATTTTGTCTATCATTGTTATCATACCAGGTCGATCTCTCCGCACGGATATATGTAAACAAAGCATAATGTAGCTCTACTGAAACCAAACATACTTTTATCCAACAGAATAGTAATAACATGTTCTCTGTATCGAACACCAATGACATATCTTACCAGTGAATATTTTATAAAAAGCATTCCTCCCGAATACCTTCCGAACTTGGACCTTTGTGGCTGGTAAACAAGAAAGTTTATATTCTGGAAAAATATCATTAAAGTAATTCTCTATTGACTATGTTTCATATAACGCAAAAATTTTCAGATACAAAAGAAACAAAGCCAATGTCGGACAATTTGTTGGTTAAATCTTCTATATTCCTTGCCATGTAAGATATGCTTTCGCATAACCTTCGACCTTGACGGCAGCACCCGCTCCTGATCCACAGTTGACGATGTTCAACTTGAGTCGCGATCTGCGAATGAAGCCGATCGCGACAACTGATGCTCATCACCTTCCAGAGTAGAGGCTGGCATGTCCTCAATGACGAGCCTCCCATTCTTATAATAGCCCCTCTTGTTCTCAGATCTGAGCAAAGTCAGTTTCTCACGCTGTCGCTTATTACGAATAATTGCAAGAAACCGAGCAAAAACAATAAAAATCGTGATAAAAGCAAAAAGTATCCTATATTTCCAATCAAACTTTGTTTATAAGAATATTTTACGATATTAACCCTTAATGTAAAAAAAATAATTTTTACATTAGGGGTTGCGGGTTGTTACTCTGAATGTAATTTTTTTTTTACATTAAGAGTTAACGCGTAACCCTTAGTGTAAAATAATTTACATTAAGAGTAATTTTTACATTAGGGGTTGTAACACAGCACCAACCCAACAAAACTCGATTTTGAGTAAAGATTTCCCTCAGCATTTCTGCATAAAAGGAAGCCCAGTCTCTCATTCAGGTGAGAAGCAGGAAGCTCTTTGAACTTGGGTTCAAAACCTCGGAAACCAAGACATTCTGGAAGTGAAAGGATTGCCTTGTTCAGGGTACAAATGTAACAGTAAGTGGATTAATTTGTTTTTATTACGGCGTCGTTTTCAAATGAAATTTCCCTACGTCCAGTCAGCATAACATGCCTCAAATCTTACATTTTTGTCAATCTCATTATAAACGCCTTTCAAAGACCGGAATGTCTTTATAGTATTGCCAATTTCTGCGATGACACATTGGTCACGCTTGACATTGCTATCATGGCAAATGGTGTAAGGGAGGTAACTCTCGGTGATGTTGATCGAATCTTTTAGGTATGTGTTTATATAGTCTATTATGTTTGAATGTCTTACGTCAAAATAGTTTTAATTCTTCAGGAGGTATTACGCCCAGTAGATTTGGAGAGGTTCCCATCCACGATGTCCTGTACTGCTTTTGCATTAAGGGACAGGAGCGGTCACTTGACGCTTGAACTTCTGGCTCTACGGAAACGCTGGCTGTATTTCCTAGTTCAGGGGCCATCTCAGAACGGGTTTCAGCTTCAACAGCTGTTGTGAGTAATACTAATAACCAAATTAGGTGGGTGTATGAATGTCTTAACTATTATAGAGTTGCAATAAATGTTTTTTACTCTGTTAGACACTGTTTTTTTCCCCTTTTGCCAAGCCCAAGAAAATTACATCAATTATTATTTTGATTGAGTAATTAATGGAAAAAGGCAAATTTCATTTACCTTCAATGACTTAAATTTTCTCAGAAAATGTCTCGTCATCCCATTGCTCAATATTGCATCGAAATCTCCGATGTGGAAGTCAGGGAAAATTTCCATCTGTTCCTCCATGTTGATGATTTAAAAAATAGTTCCATTAACCAATGTATACATACACGGTGATGAGACCAAAAGAGTGATGTTATGCTCATTCGACAACACTTTTTAACCAATCAGATCAGAGAACATACCTACTTTTATGTTACAAGAGCCAATGATTAGTTTTGAACATATATGCCAATCTATGTTTTCCTCCGTTAGGGAAGTGTAGTGGTTCCCCACATGGGTACAATGCGAAAAGTCTATTTCTGGTTTCGCGCACCGTTGTGGCTGGTGTATACATTACAAAATGTAAAATTAGCGTGAAACTCTGGCAATAAAAAAGATTAAATCCAATAGCAATTACAATAGTACCCAATTCATGCCGATCAGATCACGTGACTTCCTAAAAGTCTCCATGGAGACACATCCGGTCATACATGTTCAGGTTAATGCTGGTTTTAAGTGCAGTCTTATTCCCACTGTGGCAATGTACTGTGAGTGTATTTCCTGACCAGTGGTCTACCGATTTCCCCATGCACACAGCCGCGATCACAACAATACTGTCTCTGTCGGTCACTGCGTGAGAGGCTTATTAAACTGTTCATCTGGGCCAGGCTCTGCTAGGCCAGGTAGAGTTGTCTCCCTTGTGCTGTTAGCTGGCGGTGCTATCGTTAACTCAATATGGTTTAGCTTCTCTACAACCTGCGGAAAACAACAATCATGAGTGAATTGTTCTAACTTTATGTTTAAGAAATATACGACGAGTGGGAGATGTTTGTCGTACAGCAAACCACTGAATGGAGAATAAACCATGTCTTGAAGCGTTTTATTGTACGATAATCAACTCCCACCCGTCGTTTATAGCTTATGTGAGATCTACTTTTTATTCAACCTCATTAAGGGTGTTAAAATATAGTACAAGCTTCAAAAGCATTCACGTACTTAAATAATGAAAATAATCCGACATAGACAATCTCGGACAAGTCCATTTCATAAACAGGGGGTTACGTTTGGTATTCTCTGGATATTCCCCCAATGTTCACGTCGATTTTCTGTATCTTTTCTCCCCATACCGATTGCCATATCTCTCCCACTTTTGAATGCTATCGTTCATCTGCGTTGACCAGCTACATTCATTGGATACACAACACACCTCTCTCTCTCTGGACACTCGATTATTTACAAACCGCCGTCATATAGCTGGATTATTGCTGAGTGCGGCGTTAAACAAAACACAAACAAACAAACACTTCTATCAAATAACGTCGTCCATTTTGCCACGTCGTCAACTGCGAGTGCGTGTTCGAATCTCCAGAAATTACATCATGATCGAACAATGTTTTATAGAATAATAGACCACGCTTCGTTCTTCATTGTTCTTTGCAATTTATAGCGTAGTTATCTTATATTCTTATATATAAGATAGCTACGCGATAAATGTAAAAAAACAATGAAGAACGATATACATAAAGACATGTATTGAATAAGCCACGAATGATATTAACATATTTCTCATTTGCTGATAATTCATAAAAATATGTTGATAATATTACAGTGAGCAAAGTACAATAACGTTTTGGCTATGGATAATACTGACCTGCGTTTCTGCCGCTTGACGTCGGTAGTCGGGACGAACCATCGCTACACATGACAGAATGAAGAATTCATGAGACAAATCTCATCCTCCATGTTATCTTATGCTGCAGAGTGAGGTACATACATTAAACCTGTCCGATAAGCTTGATATCATAATCCACCAAATCAGGGAAAATGTCATCTTCCCGTGGTAAGGGAGTTGACTGACTATGAAAGTTCAGTGGAAACTTCCAGGAACTACCTGAGTACAATGTGTGAAGCCCATTTCTGGTGCCCCCCGCCGTGATATTGATGGAATATTGCTAAAAGCGGCGTAAAACCATACTCACTCACTCAATCCAGGAACTACCTATAATAAGCTCCACAATAAGATTCGCCGCGAATAGCTGACACATTGCTGATGCGGCGTTAAAGAGATAACCGAATAAGTTTTTGTGTGTGTCAAGGTATGGATGCTCTGAAGTAACGTCATGAACAACGAACACAATAGAAGACATGTTGCATCTAGGCAAAGCGCCGGCAAAGACGACCGAGCACAGTGTGGTGTATAAGGTGTTAACTTATGTGTTAGAATGACGCCGACAAAGACGACCGAGCACAGTGTGGTGTATAAGGTGTTAACTTACCTGATAGAATGACGCCGACAAAGACGAGCGAGCACAGTGTGGTGTATAAAGTGTTAACTTACCTGTTAGATTGACGCCGACACAGACGACCGAGCACAGTGTGGTGTATAAGGTGTTAACTTACCTGATAGAATGACGCCGACAAAGACGAGCGAGCACAGTGTGGTGTATAAAGTGTTAACTTACCTGTTAGATTGACGCCGACACAGACGACCGAGCACAGTGTGGTGTATAAGGTGTTAACTTATGTGTTAGAATGACGCCGACAAAGACGACCGAGCACAGTGTGGTGTATAAGCTGTTAACTTACCCGATAGAATGACGCCGACAAAGACGAGCGAGCACAGTGTGGTGTATAAAGTGTTAACTTACCTGTTAGATTGACGCCGACACAGACGACCGAGCACAGTGTGGTGTATAAGGTGTTAACTTATGTGTTAGAATGACGCCGACAAAGACGACCGAGCAGAGTGTGGTGTATAAGGTGTTAACTTACCTGTTAGAATGACGCCGGCAAAGACGACCGAGCACAGTGTGGTGTATAAGGTGTTAACTTACCTGATAGAATGACGCCGGCAAAGACGACCGAGCACAGTGTGGTGTATAAGGTGTTAACTTACCTGTTAGAATGACGCCGACAAAGACGACCGAGCACAGTGTGGTGTATAAGGTGTTAACTTATGTGTTAGAATGACGCCGACAAAGACGACCGAGCACAGTGTGGTGTATAAGGTGTTAACTTACCTGTTAGAATGACGCCGACAAAGACGACCGAGCACAGTGTGGTGTATAAGGTGTTAACTTACCTGTAAGAATGACGCCGGCAAAGACGACCGAGCACAGTGAGGTGTATAAGGTGTTAACTTACCTGTAAGAATGACGCCGGCAAAGACGACCGAGCACAGTGTGGTGTATGAGGTGTTAACTTACCTGATAGAATGACGCCGGCAAAGACGACCGAGCACAGTGTGGTGTATAAGGTGTTAACTTACCTGTTAGAATGACGCCGGCAAAGACGACCGAGCACAGTGTGGTGTATAAGGTGTTAACTTACCTGTTAGAATGACGCCGGCAAAGACGACCGAGCACAGTGTGGTGTATAAGGTGTTAACTTACCTGTTAGAATGACGCCGGCAAAGACGACCGAGCACAGTGTGGTGTATAAGGTGTTAACTTACTTGTTAGATTGACGCCGACAAAGACGACCGAGCACAGTGTGGTGTATAAGGTGTTAACTTACCTGTTAGAATGACGCCGGCAAAGACGACCGAGCACAGTGTGGTGTATAAGGTGTTAACTTACCTGTTAGAATGACGCCGGCAAAGACGACCGAGCACAGTGTGGTGTATAAGGTGTTAACTTACCTGTTAGAATGACGCCGGCAAAGACGACCGAGCACAGTGTGGTGTATAAGGTGTTAACTTACCTGTTAGAATGACGCCGGCAAAGACGACCGAGCACAGTGTGGTGTATAAGGTGTTAACTTACTTGTTAGATTGACGCCGACAAAGACGACCGAGCACAGTGTGGTGTATAAGGTGTTAACTTACCTGTTAGAATGACGCCGACAAAGACGACCGAGCACAGTGTGGTGTATAAGGTGTTAACTTACCTGTTCTGTTTGAATGACGCCGGCAAAGACGACCGAGCACAGTGAGGTGTATAAGGTGTTAACTTACCTGTAAGAATGACGCCGGCAAAGACGACCGAGCACAGTGAGGTGTATAAGGTGTTAACTTACCTGTAAGAATGACGCCGGCAAAGACGACCGAGCACAGTGAGGTGTATAAGGTGTTAACTTACCTGTTAGAATGACGCCGGCAAAGACGACCGAGCACAGTGAGGTGTATAAGGTGTTAACTTACCTGTTAGAATGACGCCGGCAAAGACGACCGAGCACAGTGTGGTGTATAAGGTGTTAACTTACCTGATAGAATGACGCCGGCAAAGACGACCGAGCACAGTGTGGTGTATAAGGTGTTAACGTACCTGATAGAATGACGCCGACAAAGACGACCGAGCACAGTGTGGTGTATAAGGTGTTAACTTACCTGTTAGAATGACGCCGGCAAAGACGACCGAGCACAGTGTGGTGTATAAGGTGTTAACTTACCTGTTAGAATGACGCCGACAAAGACGACCGAGCACAGTGTGGTGTATAAAGTGTTAACTTACCTGTTAGAATAACGCCGAGGCAGACGACCGAGCACAACGTGATATTTGCTGCGAGGATGCTCACACGGTTCATCACAGCGCGCATCCCCAGTGTCAGAATCATTCCACAGAACTGTAAGATTGGAAAATATATTTCAATAACCTCCCAAAGAACACCATCGTTAATACGTTGTAAACATTTGAAAACGTAATCTTGCAACTCGATGTTGTTTGTTAACTGAGGAGATTGTGTGACATGTATCAACCAAGTCAGCGAGCCTGACCACCCGATCCCGTTAGTTGAAGACCTATTCTCTACCCGCATCTTCACGGGCCGAGAGAGATTGTGCGGTAACCGATGAAGATCATGTGTTACTTGTTAAAGTTTGTGCGGCAACACTGATGGTGATTGTGCGGAAATTAATGGAACGTGTGTGGTAACGCATGGATATCTGATTTGTGAGGGAAATTGTGAAGACGAAATCCTATTACATAACCTCTTACCATTGCTGAAGATGTCAAAATGCCGGACGATGTGGCCTCAGACGCGGGATAGGTGATCTCGGCAGCAAATTCGTACCCAACTGGTAGGTAGCCAGTCATAAAAAATCTAAGACATTTTGAAACAGGGTTGAATCAAGGACACAAACAGACGAGGTTGGATGGAGTACACGAGGTGGGTGGTGAAATGGGGTTTAACGTCGCGTCCAAGATTATTGCACTTATATAGCGACGTGCATGCACGTGTATGTGTGTGTGTGTGGCTGATTGTACTAGTCCGGACTGATGCCGATTTATAGTGCTAGCTCACTGAGATACCATGCCGCAGTTTAACATGAATACCCCACTCAGACACAGTATACTGACTCCGAGCCGACCAGTCCTTGTTTTAGCCCCTTTATGCCGAGCGCCAGACAGGGTAACAACAAGTACCATCTTTCAACGTCTTTTGGTATGACGCGGCCGGGGATCGAACCCCGGACCTTCCGCTCTCCGGGCGGACGCTCTACCACTAGACCACGGAGGCAGCTGGAGTACACGAAAGCAGGCGTCTAAAATGTAGGAGGAGCATGAATAAAACTGAATGTAGGACATGTGTACACGGGACTGAATGTAGGACATGTATACACGGGACTAAATGAAGGACATGTGTACACGGGACTGAATGTAGTACATGTATACACGGGACTGAATGTAGGACATGTATACACGGGACTGAATGTAGGACATGTATACACGGGACAGAATGTAGGACATGTATACACTGGACTGAATGTAGGACATGTATACACTGGACTGAATGTAGGACATGTGTACACGGAACTGAATGAAGGACATGTATAGACGGGACTGAATGTAGGACATGTATACACGGGACTGAATGAAGGACATGTATAGACGGGACTGAATGTAGGACATGTGTACACGGGACTGAATGTAGGACATGTATAGACGGGACTGAATGTAGGAGATGTGTACACGGGACTGAATGTAGGACATGTATACACGGGACTGAATGTAGGACATATGTACACGGGACTGAATGTAGGACATGTATACACGGGACTGAATGTAGGACATGTATACACGGGAATGAATGTAGGACATGTGTACACGGAACTGAATGTAGGACATATGTACACGGGACTGAATGTAGGACATGTGTACACGGGACTGAATGTAGGACATATGTACACGGGACTGAATGTAGGACATGTGTACATGGGACTGAATGTAGGACATGTATACACGGGACTGAATGTAGGACATGTGTACACGGGACTGAATGTAGGACATGTATACACGGGACTGAATGAAGGACATGTGTACATGGGACTGAATGTAGGACATGTGTACACGGGACTGAATGTAGGACATGTATACACGGGACTGAATGTGGGACATGTGTACACGGGACTGAATGTAGGACATATGTACACGGGACTGAATGTAGGACATGTATACACGGGACTGAATGAAGGACATGTATACACGGGACTGAATGTAGGACATGTGTACACGGGACTGAATGTAGGACATGTATACACGGGACTGAATGTAGGACATGTGTACACGGGGCTGAATGTAGGACATGTATACACGGGACTGAATGAAGGACATGTATACACGGGACTGAATGTAGGACATGTGTACACGGGACTGAATGTAGGACATGTATACACGGGACTGAATGAAGGACATGTATACACGGGACTGAATGTAGGACATGTGTACACGGGACTGAATGTAGGACATGTATACACGGGACTGAATGTAGGACATGTGTACACGGGACTGAATGTAGGACATATGTACACGGGACTGAATGTAGGACATGTATACACGGGACTGAATGAAGGACATGTATACACGGGACTGAATGTAGGACATGTGTACACGGAACTGAATGTAGGACATGTATACACGGGGCTGAATGTAGGACATGTATACACGGGACTGAATGTAGGACATGTATACACGGGAATGAATGTAGGACATGTGTACATGGGACTGAATGTAGGACATGTATACACGGGACTGAATGAAGGACATGTATACACGGGACTGAATGAAGGACATGTATACACGGGACTGAATGTAGGACATGTATACACGGGACTGAATGTAGGACATGTGTACACGGGACTGAATGTAGGACATGTGTACACGGGGCTGAATGTAGGACATGTATACACGGGACTGAATGTAGGACATGTATACACGGGAATGAATGTAGGACATGTGTACATGGGACTGAATGTAGGACATGTGTACACGGAACTGAATGTAGGACATGTGTACATGGGACTGAATGTAGGTCGGGACTGAATGTAGGACATGTATAGACGGGACTGAATGTAGGACATGTATACACGGGACTGAATGTAGGACATGTGTACACGGGACTGAATGTAGGACATGTATACACGGGACTGAATGTAGGACATGTGTACACGGGACTGAATGTAGGACATATGTACACGGGACTGAATGTAGGACATGTATACACGGGACTGAATGTAGGACATGTATACACGGGACTGAATGAAGGACATGTATACACGGGATTGAATGTAGGACATGTATACACGGGACTGAATGTAGGACATGTATACACGGGACTGAATGTAGGACATGTATACACGGGACTGAATGTAGGACATGTATACACGGGACTGAATGTAGGACATGTCTACACGGGACTGAATGTAGGACATATGTACACGGGACTGAATGTAGGACATGTATACACGGGACTGAATGTAGGACATGTATACACGGGACTGAATGTAGGACATGTGTACACGGAACTGAATGTAGTACATGTATACACGGGACTGAATGTAGGACATGTGTACACGGAACTGAATGTAGGTCGGGACTGAATGTGGGACATGTTTATACGAGACGGAACATTGGGGACTTTTTTTGTAACCCGGAATTGCAACAAGTATATTTCATTGAATCTAGGACAATGGGAGTAGTTTATCTTACATAGATGTTGCAAGCCTAACTGGTTGATGTCTTGCCCTGAACGATCAATGGGAAGTACCAGGTGGCTGACTATCTTTATGGCATCTAACTTGAACGCTGTTCACAACATGTTACCAGCTGACTTTATGTTTATACAACTGTAGTATAACCGAGAATCCTCTACTTGTTTGCACAAACAAATACATTTGATATTTTGCTGTTGCTTTTGTTGTAGAAACGACAAACTTGAGTAAATGTTTAATCACAGCACAAATCACAGTCCCTCCTAGATCCGAGAGAAAATATTAAAAAATCGAATCCCACTCAAGTCTAGAACGATTACTCTGGGCTACATTTGGAGTTTAGGTTTTATTTTGTAGACACATATTTGTATTTCAAGGAGTAAATATAGTCTTGACAAATCATATTCCATCTGTATGATGGCCCCAAACAGTCACTGTCTAGTGATTGACATTTGATTGAGCATTTAAGATACGAACACATGCATCAATCAAGTTTGTCGCCTCTTTCGACAAGCATGGGTTGCTGAAGACAAATTGTAATCGGGGTGATGCCAAAATGAAACATTAAGATGGTAAGTTAGAGATATTTCTACCCAAGAAATCCGGCGACGAGGTAGATGATCCAGATGCGGTTGAGGTCGCATTCGATGATGACAGTGAACGCTATCATTCCTACCAGCGACAGGGCATAGATTCCGACCGACGTCCACCTGTAGGACAGAACAAGGACAGAGCATAGCATGATACATCTGCTTTTGTGTCCATACACAAAGGGGTATTCAACTAAATAAAATAAAGTCAAGCTCTCGGCGCCCCGGCCTTCATCAGACACTCTCTGATGGTTTGTACTATACCATTCCTGATCCTTTTTCAACTAACCGTCTGAATCTGGAATAACCACCCGAATCTGGAATAACCACCTGAATCTGGAATGACCACCTGAATCTGGAATGACCATCTGAATCTGGAATGACCATCTGAATCTGGAATGACCATCTGAATCTGGAATGACCATCTGAATCTGGTATGACCATCTGAATCAGGAATAACCATCTGAATCTGGAATGACCATCTGAATCTGGAATGACCATCTGAATCTGGTATGACCATCTGAATCAGGAATAACCATCTGAATCTGGAATGACCATCTGAATCTGGAATGACCATCTGAATCTGGAATGACCATCTGAATCTGGAATAACCATCTGAATCTGGTATGACCATCTGAATCTGGAATGACCATCTGAATCTGGAATGACCATCTGAATCTGGAATGACCATCTGAATCTGGTATGACCATCTGAATCAGGAATAACCATCTGAATCTGGAATGACCATCTGAATCTGGAATGACCATGTGAATCTGGAATGACCATCTGAATCTGGAATGACCATCTGAATCTGGTATGACCATCTGAATCTGGAATGACCATCTGAATCTGGAATAACCATCTGAATCTGGAATGACCATCTTAATCTGGAATAACCATCTGAATCTGGAATGACCATCTTAATCTGGGACCTTAAGTACATCCCCTTCATGTACAGAGGTAAGTCTAAAGAGATACTTGATTGTACCACCCACCCCACCCCCTGAGTCCCTAATAGCATCATGTTTTTCATTTGCTCAGCGGAATCCAAAATACTACATAACACAAATTCCAAAAGCACATGTCAAAATTCACTCGACGAAGGTAGAATTGCCATCACAGACGCAGACCCGTATTACATAGCTCACGTTCCTGTCTCATAAAAGGGTGCGGTTTTTTCGGGTTAAATTGCTGAAAAAAAAAAAATATATAAGGAACATATTTCGAATATAATTATTTTAATTTAAATGTTGAATCTGAGTACAGATTACGATTTTCTTTGCATCCCGCGTACAACACTGCTGAGTCCCGAACACCCTCTTAATGGACCCCGAATACCAGAAGGGGGTATGCAGTCTCATAAAGGACATCTTCCCGAGGCAAGGCAGTCCACTGCCTATAAAAGTCCAGTTTCCACCCTTGTCGAACTAGGCTGGAATAATGGAGTTATATTTTGGCTGGGTTAACGTGTTTATGCATAGTCCAATCAAAATCGCGTAACGAAATCAACATCCAGTTCGTAAACTGCCATACAGATTTCGGTTGATTGCAGGATTTGCAAAACATGTGTTCCGTCAACTTAGCGGGACACAACTCGTAATAGCTACTGGTTGTACCCTACGATCGAGCCCAGAATTTCAAGCTTAGTTCGGCAAAGGGTGGAAACTGGACATTTACAGTCAGTTAACTCCCTTGCCTTCCACAACAGCTGAAGGAACTATATGTTGCCATAGAGACCTATCTTGCCGAAGGGAAACATGCAGATCCACTGTCCAATTTGACATCTCGGACTATTGTTTTAAGAAGGAATGTCCATCTATATCAGAATTGCAACATACCTTTTGGTCAAAACGGAAACACAGTGACGTTACATACTTGAACGCCTTCGTCTTGTCCAGCCACAGTCCCGCCATGATGGCTCCTGCTATACCGGCGAGGACGATCGTCAGGCCAATACGCCCAGTATTCTCTTCCTCTCCCTGGGGAACAGTGAGTGAGTGAGTGAGAATTGGGTGGGTGATGGTGATTGAGTGAGTGAGTGAGAATTGGGCGGGTGAGTGAGTGAGTGAGTGAGTGAGTGTGGGTGGGTGGGTGAGTGAGGGAGTGAGTGGTTAAGTGAGTGGGTGAATGATTGAGTTAGTTGGTGAGTGAGTCGGTGAATGCATGGTTGATTGAGTGAGTGAAAATCTATTATTTTTTCAATCTAAAGTTCAATCTAATCTGATTTAAAAAAAAATCAAACTGTACAATAACTGCTCCCTCAGTGTTGACATTATCCTTGCTTAGCCACGAGTGCACCTGTGTGCGATATGATACACATATGCTGCAGCATTTTTATGACATATGATATATGATATATGATATCAACATTATACAACAGATGGCTCGGAAAAAGTGAGTATGTGGCAATAAACAGCCTTACTGATTCAGTTTTACATGGTGTTAAAGAACAGAGGGACAACAGTAGAAATGTAGGTCTTTTGTAAATCGGACGTGGGTGACTGGATGGGTGGGAGGTTGAGTGAGTGAGTGAGTGAGTGACAAGCTCTGGCACTGATGACGTACCGGGAAATAGTAGAGCATGATGCCGTTCAGGAGGGTGGAGATGGCATAGAAGGCCCCCGTCAGGATGCCTGCAACACAACCAAGGCAAGCGAGACTACTGTATGGGCCAGGCAGTACAAATAGTTACACGACAAGAGAGAGAGAGAGAGAGAGAGAGAGAGAGAGAGAGAGAGAGAGAGAGAGAGAGAGAGAGAGAGAGAGAGAGAGAGAGAGAGAGAGAGAGAGAGAGAGAGAGAGAGAGAGATATCCCGTCTCAGCCACGGACCCGCCCAGCCACAAGCCCCCATTCAGCCATAGACACAAGACAAGCAATAGACCCATGACCCGCCTCAGACTCCTACCCAGCCACTAACCCCACCCAACCACAGAAGCCCCGCCTAACCATAGACCCCTGCCCAAAGCTACCCCATTTCTGGTGTCCCCCGCCGTGATATTGCTAGAATATTGCTAAAACCACACTCACTCATTTCCAAAGCTATCCCTTCTGTGTTGATCAGTCTATGCAACAATAATATCAGCACAGGGGTCTATACTGACCGCAAAAAGAAACGCAAACCATAGAAACAGAAAGAGAAGTACAGTAAACTACGGTTATAACGAACGCGCTTATAACGAACTAACGGATATAACGAACTAACTTTTTAGTCCCGACTATATGCTGTAGCTATGCTGTATATATGCTTATAACGAACTACGGTTATAACGAACTAAAATTAGTAGTCCCTTTGAGTTCGTTATAACCGTAGTTTACTGTATGAAAGTTAAGAAGAGATGTTTCCATGTGATGTGTACCATTTAAGACAAAACTAACAGTCAGTCAAGTGTTAAGACAGAGTGCCTTTATTCTTATCAGATATGCTTCACGTGATTTCCAAACTTTACATGCTAATACTGCATGAGACAAATAGTGCATATCGAGTCACTCATCTGAGACACAACCAGCACATGGTATGCACCGGTATGCACCCATGAGCGTCGGTCACGCAGCATAACATTATGCTCGTTTGTGCATCGAACCAATCTAATATCTCTTTAATATGAGTAATTCTTCAAATATTAACCAACGTGTACGCGTTTCTTTTGGCGGTGAGTATTTATAAGTTGGCATGCGAACAGACATATAAATGTTTGGAAGGTCCAAAACACAGAATCTTTGATCTGCAAGGAGACATTGACTACTGACGAGTACTTATACGTATAGTGTTACCGTAATATATAGAATGACTGCCCACTATGTAAGTATTACCGTAGGATACAGCAAGAAGTATGAAGTTGAGGTTTGTGATGAGCGCGTGTAGAGATTGCCTGTAGTTCTGGTGCCGGCTGGTGTGTTGAGCCAATAGCCTGGCTCTGCTGGGTGGGATTTTAGGCTCTGCTTGGTAACCTAGCAACATGCAAATCGTAGTCAGCGCGCATGTGTTACGTAAATATAAAGTGTCAATACAAGAGAATTACCAGTCTTGATTATCCACCGAAACAGATTCCATTTGGCGTAATTCTTGCTTGGTAACCTAGCAACATGAAAATCGTAGTCAGCGCGCATGTGTTACGTAAATATAAAGTGTCAATGCAAGAGAATTACCAGTCTTGATTATCCACCGAAACAGATTCCATTTGGCGTAATTCTTGCTTGGTAACCTAGCAACATGAAAATCGTAGTCAGCGCGCATGTGTTACGTAAATATAAAGTGTCAATGCAAGAGAATAACCAGTCTTGATTATTCACCGAAACAGATTCCATTTGGCGTAATTCTTGCTTGGTAACCTAGCAACATGAAAATCGTAGTCAGCGCGCATGTGTTACGTAAATATAAAGTGTCAATACAAGAGAATTACCAGTCTTGATTATCCACCGAAACAGATTCCATTTGGCGTAATTCTTGCTTGGTAACCTAGCAACATGAAAATCGTAGTCAGCGCGCATGTGTTACGTAAATATAAAGTGTCAATGCAAGAGAATTACCAGTCTTGATTATCCACCGAAACAGATTCCATTTGGCGTAATTCTTGCTTGGTAACCAAGCAACATGCAAATCGTAGTCAGCGCGCATGTGTTACGTAAATATAAAGTGTCAATACAAGAGAATTACCAGTCTTGATTATCCACCGAAACAGATTCCATTTGGCGTAATTCTTGCTTGGTAACCTAGCAACATGCAAATCGTAGTCAGCGCGCATGTGTTACGTAAATATAAAGTGTCAATACAAGAGAATTACCAGTCTTGATTATCCACCGAAACAGATTCCATTTGGCGTAATTCTTGCTTGGTAACCTAGCAACATGCAAATCGTAGTCAGCGCGCATGTGTTACGTAAATATAAAGTGTCAATACAAGAGAATTACCAGTCTTGATTATCCACCGAAACAGATTCCATTTGGCGTAATTCTTGCTTGGTAACCTAGCAACATGCAAATCGTAGTCAGCGCGCATGTGTTACGTAAATATAAAGTGTCAATACAAGAGAATTACCAGTCTTGATTATCCACCGAAACAGATTCCATTTGGCGTAATTCTTGCTTGGTAACCTAGCAACATGCAAATCGTAGTCAGCGCGCATGTGTTACGTAAATATAAAGTGTCAATACAAGAGAATTACCAGTCTTGATTATCCACCGAAACAGATTCCATTTGGCGTAATTCTTGCTTGGTAACCTAGCAACATGCAAATCGTAGTCAGCGCGCATGTGTTACGTAAATATAAAGTGTCAATACAAGAGAATTACCAGTCTTGATTATCCACCGAAACAGATTCCATTTGGCGTAATTCTTGCTTGGTAACCTAGCAACATGAAAATCGTAGTCAGCGCGCATGTGTTACGTAAATATTAAGTGTCAATGCAAGAGACGTATGATTGAGGCAATTGCTGTGACTGCCGATAGACCCAGGTCTAGTCTCCCTATTGTTACACGTACAATCAAAAGCCCAACAATAAGACTTTCAATATAAATACACCCATGTTCCCAAATTACCGTCACCTTCACTACAATAAAAAAAATGAAAAATAAGAAATAAAAAATAAATAAATAAATTATACACGAATATCCAAACTATGATGCAGCAGTTAGTGAGGTCCCGCCGATCGACGAACAATCAGATCACGTTATTGATGAAACACCAGATAATTATTCTCTAGCATAATGACAGTTACAGTAGTTAAATAGCTTTGAATATTTGTATCCCCAGCCAGAATAGTAGAAGCCTTGTGATAAACGTCGGGGTTATTATTCGTGTACACTGATGTTCATGTAAATGTAAATTTATAACTCTCAGGCACAATATAGTGGAGTAAGATTGAACACAGTTCATGTACATGTTAACAATACATGTATGTATGTATGTATGTATGTATGTGTGTGTGTGTGTGTGTGCGTGTGTGCGTGCGTGCGTGCGTGCGTGCGTGCGTGCGTGCGTGCGTGCGTGTGTGTGTTTTCATGCATTTTTAAACGTGTTTTAATGCATATTTTAAACGTTTGATATGGTGCTGTAAACACAAAACAGAATTAATGTGAATCACAGGAGTAAACAAACAGCTTGCTCCTTCTGAGGCACTGTCACCGTTATCCTTTAAAGCAAAATACTATATATCTCAACAAACGTTCAAATGCACATCAACATTGTCGTCCACCGATATCCGGTAGAGTGTCACGAGAACCCCAGGGCCCGTTTCACAAAGCGACCTTAGCGCTACGACTATCGTACCTCTCAATATGTTAAGGGGGCACGGGTGGCCCAGTCGTCTAAGGCGCCGCGATTAGCTGTGCAGAGTTGCGTCCCTTTGGCACGCCAGAAACCTATGATTGTGGGTTCGAATCCCGGTTCGCCCCAATTATGTTTCTAGGTTTGTCAGCACCATACCCGTGCTCGTGGGTTTCAACGAAGTGGTAAACGTCTGAGACCTGCACCACTTCGGGCTTTCCTCCCACATTAAGCTGACCTGCCGTGATATGACTGGAATACTGTTAAAAGCGGCGTTAAACCCAACTCTATCACTCACTCAATATGTTAATATAAGTATAGTAGTTACGATAGCCTTAGCACTATGGAGGATTTGTGATCTCCGTTTGTGGCATCATATTAAGACCTTATATTTTTTTATCATGTAAAAAAAATAAATTTCCACCTTACATTTCATGCAGATAGCTATGCGAGCCCTTTCATTCGCAGCAGCTAAAGGTTAAGTTTGACAGTGTAATAGTATCAGTGGTTTAAAATGAAAACATTGCATAACAAACATCGGTATGTTGAGGTGATTTGTCTAGTGGTATTAGTTGGCGCCAAACCCGTGCCTGTATATGCCTGTTTGACATGCTTACAGTCACGTAAGTACATGCATGTCAATGTGTTGTCGCATGTCTTACATCATATCAGAGAAACACACTTAGTAGGTGAGGTGAAACGGGGTTTAAGATTATGTATTCATAGCGACGTGCGTGCAAGCGTTTGTGTGCGGTGTGGCTGTTGTACTAACTGTTGCCGGTTTTATAGTACTAGCCGTCTCAGATACTACGCCGCAGCATACTTATCCCGAGCCCACCAGTCCTTGTTTCATCCCCTTGGTGCCGAGCTTCAGGAAGGGTAACAACAAGTACCATCTTTTAAAGTACGCGGTATGACGCGTACGCCGCAGGGGAGCGAACCCCTGAACTACCGCTCTCCCAGCAGACATTCCACCCACTGTGGAGGCAGCCTTGACTTTGGAAACAGTGAGAGAAGGCAAATTAAGCTCACCTACAAGCATGAGTAGAAAGATGGCGGTGGTGACTGAAGCTGTGCCGTAGTTCATGACGGTGAGCCCGGCGCCGATGTCTGTGATGTTGGGGGAGTTGTTCACAAGTATGGGAGGGATGAGGAAGCCGACGGCCACGCCTATCTGAGAGAAGGGAGCAAACACTAGGTATCTGGTCACCATGGATACAATGAAACATAGTTAGCTCGAAGTCGTGTGATACAGGTCGAGCTGTGCGTAGTTCGAGAAAACGGATGCTGCTATTAGCCCATGGTATTGGTATGGAATCTACATGGAATCAAGTTGTCCTAGGCGCAGCGATTCGTGATATAATTAAAACAAGTGCAAAAGTGAGCGTGGCTCACTTATACCCCCGACCCGCCTAGTGTGTCAGTAGTTTCAAATTAAATAAATAGGATAGGGTTAGGGTTTGAAAAATTCATAAAAAAATGGAAAATTCATAAAAACACAGACACAGATTATATGTACTAAGTTTGAGATGAATCCAGTGAATAGTTTAAGAGAAATCGTGCGGACAAAGTTTTCGGACGGACGTTAGGGTTTGAAAAATTCAGAAAAAAGGGAAAATTAATAAAAACAACTTTTTTCTTTTGACTGCACCCCTCCATATGACACAGATTATATGTACTAAGTTTAAGATGAATCCCCTGAATAGTTTAAGAGTAATCGCGCGGACAAAGTTTTCGGACGGATAGACGGACAGACGGACAGATGGACGGACGGACGGACGGAATCTTGGTATAACTATATACCCCATACACATACAGTATCATACACACAGACCACATACACATACAGCTCCATTCACACAGACCACATACACATGTAGTATCATACACACATACCACATACACATACAGTTTCATACACACAGACCACATACACAAACACTATCATACACACAGACCACATACACATACAGCTCCATTCACACAGACCACATACACATATAGTTTCATACACACAGACCACATACACATACAGTATGAAACTCACAGACCACATACACATACAGTATGAAACACACAGACCACATACACATACAGTTTCATACACACAGATCACATACACATACAGCTCCATTCACACAGACCACAAACACATGCAGTATCATACACACAGACCACATACACATACAGTATCATATACACAGACCACATACACATACAGTATCATACGCACAGACCACATACACATACAGTATCATACACACAGACCACATACACATACAGTATCATACACACAGACCACATACACATACAGTATCATACACACAGACCACATACACATATAGTATCATACACACAGACCACATACACATATAGTATCATACACACAGACCACATACACATACAGTATCATACACACAGACCACATACACATACAGTATCATACACACAGACAACATACACATACAATATCATACACACAGACTACATACACATATAGTATCATACACACAGACAACATACACATATAGTTTCATACACACAGACCACATAAACATACAGTATCATACACACAGACCACATACACATACAGTATCATACACACAGACCACATACACATATAGTATCATACACACAGACCACATACACATACAGTATCATACACACAGACCACATACACATACAGTATCATACACACAGACCACATACACATATAGTATCATACACACAGACAACATACACATATAGTTTCATACACACAGACCACATACACATACAGTATCATACACACAGACCACATACACATACAGTATCATACACACAGACCACATACACATATAGTATCATACACACAGACCACATACACATACAGTATCATACACACAGACCACATACACATACAGTATTAAACTCACAGACCACATACACATACAGTATCATACACACAGACCACAAAGCCATACAGTTTCAAACTCACGGACCCCCCCCCCCCCCCACACACACACACACAGACCACACACAGACTACACACACATACAGTATCATACAAACTACAAACACGGACATTACACGTCGATGTTTACTTTGATAACGCACATACTTCATGCCCTGGTCAAACATTCCTTTTGTAGTGGATCCTTACATCTACCATTCAAATACATTCAGACCAACACAATATATCAAGAATACATTTAATGCACTGCTGAGCACAAGGCCTACAAACATCTCTGTAACAGATTCCACCCATTTATACTTTAAGCGCCCATTCATATGTGTACGAGTCTGCACAGTGGGGTTGAAATGATGTTTAGAAAAGCGACATTTTTCACGGATACTTTTTTGTCATTTACACATGATACAAATTCTTGTTGCAAGTCGCCAAGTTCCCCTGGGGATTTGTCTAGACATGAAGTGAACGATGTGTAACATTACGATTTCAGCTATCAGTTGCAATTATCTTTTCGAAATAACAAAAATCTTACTTAATCAGATTTTAGAATAATACTTTTTAATGCGAAAGGTATCCATGCGTATATCTGTGAATTACACGTCTGGCAGTTGAAGGAAGTTGAGATAAGAATTTGTGAACGTCAGATTTCGTGGTGGCTAATATCCGCCTCCAAGTCAGGTATGTGTCCGCTTACAAGAACCACTTGGACATTCAGGTGTCCGCCTCATTGTCCGAGTTGTGTCCGCTTACAAGAACCACTTGGTCAGTCAGATGTCCGCCTCCAAGTTAGGTATGTGTCCGCTTACAAGAACCACTTGGACATTCAGGTGTCCGCCTCCTTGTCCGAGTTGTGTCCGCTTACAAGAACCACTTAGCCATTCAGGTGTCCGCCTCCAAGTCCGGGTTGTGCCCGCTTACAAGAACCACTTGGCCAGTCAGATGTCCGCCTCAAAGTCACGGTTGTGTCCGCTTACAAGAACCACTTGGACATTCAGGTGTCCCCCTCCAAGTCAGGGTTGTGTCCGCTTAGAAGGACCACTTGGCCAGTCAGATGTCCGCCTCCAAGTCAGGTATGTGTCCGCTTACAAGAACCACTTGGACATTCATGTGTCCGCCTTCTTGTCCGAGTTGTGTCCACTTACAAGAACCACTTGGTCAGTCAGATGTCCGCCTCCAAGTCAGGGTTGTGTCCGCTTACAAGAACCCTTTGGCCATTCAGGTGTCCGTCGTCCCGTCAGGGCTGTGTCCGCTCACGAGGACAGGCTCGGTCAGTCCTGATGTCCGCCTCAAAGCCGGGGTTGTGTCCGCTTAATAGAACAGGCTCGGTCAGTCAGATATCCGCCTCCAAGTCGGGGCTGTGTCCGCTTACAAGAACAGGCTCGGTCAGTCAGATGTCCGCCTCCAAGTCAGGTCTGTGTCCGCTTACAAGAACAGGCTTGGTCAGTTAGATGTCCGCTTCCAAGTCAGGGCTGTGTCCGCTTACAAGAACAGGCTTGGTCAGTTAGATGTCCGCTTCCAAGTCAGGTATGTGTCCGCTTACAACAACAGGCTTAGTCAGTCAGATGTCCACCTCCACCGCCTCCAAGTCAGGCTCGGTCATTCAGAGGTCCATCTCCAAGTCAGCAAATACAACGCTATTTCTCGAGAATGTGTTCGTTGAACTATGTTGAAAGGTTCATATTGTCCTCAAAGTTAGCGAATATAAGTTTTATGTGCAATAGACTTGTGAAGGTCAGCTCTCTGAGGCACTTGTGGAAAGTTGGGAACACTTCAATTACCAAACTCAGAACACATAATAGGTAGAACCTTTGAAACCTCATCATTTACACTACAATATGGGGGAGAGGGAGAATATGTTTGGGCCCCTTCCATCTGTCCGTCCGATTTCAATACGGGCAAGCTTTCCCTGAAACCTCTGTAGATACAAGGATGCATGTTTGCTTTATAAAGAAGGAGAAGTTTGCTACATCATTATATACAACTTGGAGACGTTTTCTCGGAAACCACTGTGATGCAAGGATAATATTTTGCATACACTAAAAGGGACTAAATATGTTGATCGTGTCTGAGAACCAGCAACGACAATTTATATGTAAGGAGTTATGGCCCTTGTCTGATCTTTTGGACATGGTGCATAGTGACGTCAATAGGGCATGTAATAGAGGACATTTTGAATATATATTTGAATAAAAGGGACAAAAAATGTCCATAATGATGAAAAAACTGGTAAAAGAAAAATGCAGTGTACGATTCCGACCATATCAAAAACACAGACAGACAGACAGACAGACTGACACAGGGAATCTATTCCGTACTTTAGGCCATAGGCCCATAATACAAACAATCAAATAACATAAGTAATCTCGCAAGTCATTGAAGCTGGTTAGCTGTACTTTTTTACACTCAGGACACAGTTTTTTGTACGTTTTACAAACTGAAAGCTGATAAACACATTCTCACCCTCGTGTCTTTTAATATCAAATATATCAACACACGTCTTTATAAAGACACGAGGGTGAGCTTCTCACAACATTGTCATGACAGTTCAAAGGATATTTACGTGATATCTGTAATCATACAGGAACGTCCTGTACAATTTTACCAGTCCTAAATTCACTACTGGACGGGCGGCGGGTAATATATTTATTTTGCCGTTAGATTGCATTAGCCTCATGAAATGGTTTTTATTTTTCAATACTCAATTATTTTTCTAGTCAAATGTTACACTATTCATTGATCAAAACATCTACCTTTCGCATTGGGAAACGGACACTTCCGCGCTCGGAATTAAAACCAGGGTGCCGTTATACAAAGCGATCTTAACGCTAAGGTGATCGTAACTCCCATACCTCAACATAGACTCACGATAGTCCTGGCGCTAAAGTTGTTTTGCACATCAACATTTAGGCGTACATGCTCACACGGAGTGACACCAGAGCTTAGTGACTCTGTGTTAACGCTACTTTGAACAATTATATCACTGCGCCACTGCGTCGTCCGGGTGGAATGTCTTAACATGTCGCAGGTCGTCGACATGTACCGCCAAACAAAGGATCATAAAGGTGTATTGGGGCGTCGAACCCCCGTTCAGCGGATCCTGCACAGCAAATTTCATCGGCATTTTGGTTACCCATGACCTCCTGTAGTAGCCGAACTGAAATGAAATGTTTTAATATCTGGACAGACAATCTTAGCGAGTGACGTCAAATGTAGTTACCTGATTTCCGAAGACGCCCAGGGAGGTTGCAGTAGATACCTGGTCAGGTCCGAACCAGACAGCCGCCAGCCGAGGAGGAATACTAACCACAAACACCTCGGCCATCGCACATAGAACCTGGCCCGTCATCAACACCGGGAACCGCTCCGGTCCCAGCGCCCCTACCTTCAACCACGCCCCCATGGTGTTCAGGAGGCTACCAACGATGTTGTTGACACGCAGCCCCTTGTTGTTGAGAAGCATCATGGCGGGCACGATCGTGGGGAGGTAGACCAACATGTAGATGAGGGAGAGCCAGTCAACGGCAGCTTCCTGTTGCAGGGAGTCCCCGGGGAGGCTGCTGTTGTAGTAGCGGATGACGATGTTGGCGATGATGTTGAGGTGGATCCACTGGTAGGCGGTTGTTACGGAGAAGGCGCAGAACAAGGTCAGCATCAGCCAGCGTCTGAGATAAACTTTCGTCGATCCATCAGTTTGGATGAGGAGACCGGATTTCTCTGCGTCCTGTGGCAGCACCTTGTCCTGCGGTGCGTCATCTGTACCTGGAACATGAGTGAGTGAGTGAGTGAGTGAGTGAGTAAGTATTTTAGCTTTTAGCAACATTTCAGCAATATCACGCCGGTTGACACCAGGAATGGGTTTCACATATTGTACCCATGTGGGGAATCGAACCCGGGTCTTCGGCGTGACGAGTGAACGCTTTAACCACCAGGCTACCCCGCCGCCCCAAAACAACAAGATGAATAATAGGCATCTCATACATACGAACACTTAAACACACAGCTCGTCGCAAATTCAAACTCGGATCAAACGTCATGAAATACGATACAGATTTGAAAACTAGACATAAAACTGCACAACTGCACAATATCTGCCTTCCACTTGTCTAGAAATATAGAAAACACGACATATGTTCCATGTTCTCACGGAGTTCGTATCAACGAGGTTTTATGTATTGTGCATCATTCAGTTATGAACTTTAATCAGCAAGAAACAAGTACTGAAGCCACGTGGTTGGAAATTACAAAAAAAACAAATAAAATAACGAAAAAGCAGAATCAGTCAATGGAATGACTTTATTTTGAATTGAATCTCATCATAATAAACTGCCGGGCAAAAAAAGAAATTCAATACACTTGAAAATTGGATTTGACCACAAAACGTTACTATATTGAAAACAGTCGCCGAAACACTTCAAAGTGTAGGTTGAAAACACAGCTATGATACCCGCATGAAATATCTCACCGTCGAACAACCAGTCCTTGTTTGTTTCAGTTTTGGCCACCATCAATCATGGGTGTACAGTTAACGGCAGTTAACGTTTATATCTGCTGGAATGTGTGGTGCCAATCATCCAATCACGTGAACGGGATCAAGACATATCACCTCAAGGACAATTCCTGCCCATAGACATTTCACCACAGGGCAAGGATAATTGTCTTTTCGTTATCCAAGTATTTACAACTATACTGAACCAAATTAAAAACTTCACAATCCTAAAATTTTAACATTTTGACCAGTTATCATTGTGGGCCCTTATTGTGTATTTAAACAGTAATGGCCACGTATTGTCTTCAGATAACACCCGTTTTTGTGCAGGTGAATCGATCAAAATCATGTGCACAGCACTATAGTGGCAAAAGTGTTTTTTCACGTGCAACTGGTCACGTGGCCATAATACCGCACGTGTTTTCAGCCATACTTGTTAGCAGTCATTAACAAAAAAAGAAAAACACAAGAAAACAAAAGTCTTTACGGCCATTTGTCATGCCACGCCTTTCAAATGTGCAACGTGAACGTGCCATCGGCATGTTGCAGACGGGAACGTCCGTAGCTGAAGTCGCAAGGACAATGGGTTGTAGTCGACGGACTGTTTATGATTTACAGACGCGTCTACAGCAAACGGGTACCACCGCTGATCGCCCTCGGCCAAGTCGACCACGTGTGACGTCACATGCAGAGGATCGTCAGATTGTCTTACGTCACCTCCGTAACCGACGGCTACATCAACCAGAAATGAACTGTTTAGGGGTAGACTGAGTGCGCAAACTGTTCGAAACCGTCTGAGAACTGCTCACCTTCAAGCACGACGGCCATACTGCGGGCCGATTCTGACTCAATTACATAGACGTCAACGTCAATAGTGGGCACATCGACACTTACGATGGACTCAGAGGAATTGGAATCAAGTCGTCTTCAGTGATGAATCCCGATTTAATCTTCGATTTGCTGATGGTAGGGCGAGGGTGCGGAGGCGCCGTCATGAACGTTACGCCCAGTGTTGTGTACAGGAAGTTGACAGATTTCGAGGCGGACGTGTCATGGTGTGGGGTGCTTTCTGTGACACTGCACGTTCCAGGCTTCTTGTCATCCGTTGCAACCTCAACGCTGCTGCTTACCGCGACCAGGTACTGGCACCAGAACCTCTGCCTTTTATGGCAGCACATGGAACCGGTTTGATCTTCCAACACGACAATGCCAGACCCCACACAGCAATTTTGACAAGGAATTTCCTTCAGAATGCGGGAGTCAACGTCATGGACTGGCCGTCAAGGTCTCCCGACCTCAATCCCATCGAACACGTCTGGGATGCTCTTGGCAGAAGTCTGCGCACTCTCCAGAACCAACCACAGAATTTGTAAGATCTTGGCACCATTTTGCAGCAACAATGGCGTCGTCTTCCCAATCATGTGTTCACAAGCATCACAAGGTCCATGCGGAGGCGTTGTGTGGCAGTTGTCAACGCACATGGTGGCCATACACGCTACTGAACTTGTTTGCCATCAGATTCTCGTGCTTGGGACTTATGATTTAAACCGTTGATGTTATTACCGAATACCGTAGGTGCTTGGAACAAATTATGGTTACCACCGTTAATTAAAATCCCTCTTTGGACATTAAATTACCTTCTCTGATACATTTGTCCGTTGTATATCATATATGGGATTACTTTTAAATGTGAAGTTTTTTATTTGACTCAGTATATTATAAGGGCTAGGTCTACTAATGCCTACATTGACAAATGCCTACAGTGACTAATGCCTACAAAAGTTGTTTTAGTGTACACATTGTTTCACGCACCCCTGCACTCAAGTGGTCTACTCTACAGAAAGCACTGTGACATGGTTTGTTCATCTTGCAATCAGGCTGAAACCATTGATCACGTGTTACTAGAATCTCAAGACCATGCCCCAGCCCGGGCTAGGTTAAAACAAGAATTGCAGTTAGATCCGCTATCTGTCATAGATCTGATAAAGCCAAGAGATGCAATAGCGAAGGCCAAACTAACTCTATTGGACAGCTACTCGAACGTATATAAACAGAGCAGCCAAGGCTAAAAATGAAATCATATCAATATAAGAAAATAGAAATCATATCAATACAAAAACAGAAATTATGTGAACACCAAACTCACAATAGATATGTGTGCCCTACTCACACACAGGAGTCCCAAAGAGGGACAGGTCAGCCGAAATTGCTAAGGCAGAAGGCGACCCCTTAAACACTTAATGTAACAACAACAACATTGGCATGTTAGAGATCCAGACATGGCAAACCCGAAGAAGGTCCAGCATCATATGTCACAAAAAGGTGGTCAGCAAGTCCTACTAGATGGCTACAGGTACAGACTCAACAACCGTAGGCTAACATGTGTGCACTGGAAATGTGTACAACGTGGGTGCTTAGGGAAATGCACAACAGTTGGACAGTTTGTTAGGAATCAGTCACCTCATAATCATCAACCATACGACCTTGTAGCATTGCAGACTGTAAGCACAATTCGACAGAGAGTTCAAGCAGAGAAAACTCCCATCCAGATGATTTACGACGAGGAGGTTGCCCGACTCGACGTTCAGGATGTTGCTGTCTTCCCGGCTTACCACAGCAAGAAGAGTGGCCTCTACAAACAGAGAAGAAAGACGATTCCCCCACTTCCACAGTCCCTGGGTGAAGTAGATCTTCCTGATATCTACAAGCAGACAACCGAGAGCGCATCCGAACATTTTTGCCTTCATCAAAGTGATCCAGAGGCAAGAGAAGACGGAAAGAAACAAGCTTGCTCAGTATCTCCATGGCGCCCGTCCACCACCCCGCAAGAGCATCTACCTAGAGATCAACCAGAGACTAGAAAGGCTACAGGAGCAGCTTCGACTGGGTATCAAGTCTCCTCTCCAGTTTTTTGATGCAGCTGGATGTGTTGTAAAACTGGGCTAACAAAGCAACTAGTTTGTGCAACTCTGTGACCCATGAATGTAAGTCTGATATGTATATAATGTACATGAGATATGATAAATGAAACTGAATGAAATGTATATGTGGATATTGTAAGATCTGTGATAAAATGGGAGTGTGAATGTGATGTTTGAATCATAATGTACATGAAATATGATATGTATGAATAAAGAAAAACCACTAGATATCATTTGCTAGTGTGTGTCATTTGTCACTGTAGGCAATAGTACACTAACATGGGCCAGTTCAACTCTGCAGAGAGGTAGCAGGGTATCACATGTAAAACCACTAAAGCATATAAATGTTTGTTTTAGACTGTAGGCATTTGTCACTGTGGGCATTTGTGGACTCTTCCATTATAAGACGATATTGGAAATAAATATAGACTGCCATGTTGTCTTACTGTAGATTTGTGATCTTAACAATCCCCGGATGTGACCATGTAGACAGGATTTGATTAGAGTTTGTGATTGTGTCAATTGCCTAATGAGCATACAGCACAACTCAACTCAAATGTATTCTAAAAAATCACCCTCGATTGTACAAGAGAAAAGTTATAAATTTCAGCAAAATAATTAAATATTCATGCACAGGACGTCGACCTTTTGGTACTCAGGCGTTCGACTTAGAGGAAAAGGTCAACGCCGTGTGCATGGCTCGATCTGGGGATTAGGAAAGACAAAAATAGAATTCTGACAATACGGCTGGAAGCATAGACACTCGTTATGTTTTGAAATATGTATCCGCAGCTGAGTTCTTGTGTAACTACAAGTTATGGTTCAAGTGATTTTTTTGACTGCAGTGTTGGAACAAGACAGGGTTGTATGTTAAGCCCTATATCATTTATTTTATTACATTGAAATGATCAAATAGTCTGACTGCAGAGGTATATATATTGGTAATCTTCTAGAAAATGTCACCACTTTATTATTTGCAGCAACAATCCAGCAACAAATCGATGGTTTATGTTCGTTTTGCAGTGAATATGAAAGTGAATAGACAAAACACTAAGATAGTTGTATTCAGAAGAGGCGCACATTTTCAAACAACTGAAAAATGACGGACATATTTTAGAAGCTGTTTCTGTATATCAATATCTCGGTATCTATTTCACATCTACACTGAGTTAGGGGAAAACCTGTGTACACTTATCACAACAAGCTAAGAAACCAACATTTTGTTTTTTAAGGATTATTACGCGTAATAAGCTCAATGTCAATACATCAATGTGTTTGTTTGACAGAATGGTCGCACCTATTTTAATCTACGCCTCTGATGTTTTGGGATATGAACATGTAACGTGTATTGA